AAAAAAAAAAAAAAAAAAAAAAAAAATCAATGGAAAAATATCCTCATGAGGATTAAATCACACACACACACACACACACACACACACACACACACACAATCTTGGGCTGTCCTTGGCTGATTTCTCCGTGAAGCAAAAAGAAACAGTGTCAGTACTCCACTGTGGAACAGTGTGCAGGTGTTTGCCTGTTCCTCCAACTCCAGGATTCTCTCTATTTCCCCTAGATTCCCTCAAGTATTTCCCAGCCTTTGTATGGTTACTCATTCTGGGGTTACATTGTATTTACGAGTTTATAGTCACACCTTGGTCTCTTTTAGCGGATGTCCTGATCTATGTAAGGACATCAGTAACTTTTTGTTTTTAAAGGTTTCTTCTCCCTGAAGCTTTCTGCAGACACTTTCTCCTGTCGCTCTGATGTCCTGTATGTGACATGCTTTCCTGACATGTGGACATTGGCTGGGTGGTTTTCTACATTCAACAATGAGGCTCTGGACATTTCTGGGGGTGTGGGTTCGCGGCTGAGCATTTTCCTGTGAGGCACTCAGGCCAGCCTGTCTCATTGGCTGGGAACACCTTCCCGTCTTTTATCTGGGGCTGGTCAGATTCCCGGGAGATTTCTGCAATCGCTGGCCTGTCGGGAGGGTCAGGCTAGCAGAGCTGGGGCTCAGAGGAAAAGGCTGGGGAGCCCTCCACGCAGTCCTGTTAGCAGAGTGGCCTGTGGCGCTGTCCCAGCTTCCGCATGCCGAGGGAGGCGCTGGCGGGCTCCATGGGGAGGGAGCTAGTACTTGGACGCTTTAATCTTCTTTCTACGGATCCTCCAGTTTTAGCCTCATTTTATTTCCCTTTCCAGAAGGAAGAGTTCCTCAGCCTTTGGGGTTCTTCATGATCACACGAAGGTTCCTGAGGTTCCCTTACTGCTGCCTAGGATTCAGTCTTCTTGGAGGCATTTCTGCTTTTTAAAAATATGTATAGTTTATTGATTTTTTTACAGAGAGGGAGAGGGGTAGGGAGTTGAGAAAAATATCGATCAGCTGCCTCCTGTACACCCCCTACTAGGGATGTGCCCACAACCAAGGTACATGCCCTTGACCGGAATCGAACCCGGGACCCTTCAGTGGGCAGGCCGACGCTCTATCCACTGAGCCACACCGGTCAGGGCTCTTGGAGGCATTTCTAATTTAATCGCTAATTCAATTACAGCATCCAGCATTTTGTTGCTGTGATGCCTCCTTGTCTTCATCCTCTTGGGCTGACGCCATCACAATCTCTTTCGTGTCACACAGGTGGGGACTCAGGAGCATGCAAATGTGTGTTCAGCCCGCTGCCAGAGCTATGCTGATGTGCAAATTCCTTAAAAGTAAAGCGCCATTAGCTTGAAACCCAGCGATCACACCCATAGCCGAGTTTCTTACGCTTTGGGTCATAAGGCATCTTTTAAATGCATCCTCTTCTTTGAAACTGATGACAACTCTGTAATGGCATTCTTTCTGTCTGACAGCTGAGAGAAATGAAAGAAAGAAGAGGCTCACACTTTATCTAAAGCAGAGCGGCAGCGTACGGACCAAATCTGGAAGGCCTTTTAAAAAACCAAGGTGATTATAAATGTTAAAAAATCAGGCCTTGCATTAAAAAGTTCAGTTTTCAAAAGCTCTTAGAACAACCAACCAGGAGACGGGGCAGCGGGCACACGCTCTCCGGTTGCTCCTTTCCCTGGAGCAGCCAGCTTATTCTGCCTCCAGCCAGGTCCTCCTCGCTGCCAGCAGGAGGCGCTTGGATGTGGGACCAGAGGGAAGAAACCATTCACAAAATGAACTCCGTCCTTATCTACACAGCAAGCCGCTCCTCCGGGTCCCACCAGGTCCACCGTGTCTGTGTTACATGGTTACCCAGAGCCCAGACACACGAGTCACACACAAACCCGCGCGCTGCACACATTGTGTGAACATTTGACTGGTAAAACATGTCCAGCACTGCACACCAATGTGAGGGGTGGGGATGGGAAGAAATGAAGTCACTAAAGCAGTGAAGGGTAGTCTACCTGGCAGGGCCATCGAGGTGGCATCGGTAAGTCCCCACAGCGCTGCGAATGAGGCGGAGGGAAGAGAACGTTCAGACGCAATGGTGTTTTGGGTTTTTTTTCTCTTCTTAGATTAATAAAACCTTAAAAATTCTGTTCTTTATTGATTGATTTTATTTTTTTTAAATATATTTTATTGATTTTACACAGAGAGGAATTGAGAGGGATAGTTAGAAACGTCAATGCGAAACATCGACCAGCTGCCTCCTGCACACCCCATACTGGGGATGTGCCCGCAACCAAGGCACATGCCCTTGACCGGAATCGAACCCGGGACCTTTCAGTCCCCAGGCCGAGGCTCTATCCATTGAGCCAAACCGGTTTCGGCTTATTGATTTTAGAGCTAGGAAGGGAGAAAGAGAGGGAGGGAAACACCCATTTGTCATCTCACTTATCGATACATTCATTGGTTGAGTCTTGTATGTGCCCTGACTAGGGATTGAACCTGCAACCTTGGTGGATTGGGAGATGCTCTAACCAAGTGAACCACACGGCCAGGGCCAAGCCCCTCCCCACAGTCCCACCTGTAGTAAAACGGAAAAGGATAGCACAGTCCAGTTTGAGTTTACGTTTTCCTCTCAGAGTCCTCTAAATAACAGCAGCTCTCAAAGCCCAGCTCCAGTCTGGCAGCTGGCTGGCAGTCACCGCGAAGATTCTGCCTTTCAGAACTTCACTTTCTCCGTCTGTGACTGGAGGCCCCAGATGACAACCCAACTCTGCTTGTCTAATCTCCCAGACTTCACCTGTTTCTTCATGGAAGATAGTCTGCTGGTTTCCAATTGGGCTGGGTATGCGAGGTGGTGGGGGAGGAGGGGAGACAGGGGACTGTTGCTGGCTGCATGCTCAGCATTTGTGCCAGCTTTAGAAGGCACAAAACTAGGTGTGTGTGTGTTTAGTTATAGTCAGGTCTTTACTGCCAACTGAGCGCTTCCCTCCAGCACGGGGAGCAGAAACCTTCCCAGGCCTCAGCCCTCGGCTCAGGCGCAGCCAGTGCTGTTTTTTTAGGCCTTGCTTAGCCTCTTCTGCTTCCTTGGCAGCCCTGCTAGCTGGTTCTCGTTGACTTTCCTAACCTCAGGTTTCCGGTTCCTCCTGGAAGAGATGCACCAGTGATGGCCTCTGGAATCAGACTGCACGGCAGGGGTTTTTCTTTTGAATTTCTTCTGTCCGTTTTGTGTCTTCTGTAGAGGGCAGCCGAGTTTATCTGCCCAGGATTCCTCTTGGACAGGAATGCCAACTCGCATTTTGCATTAAGAAACTGAAAACCGCCAAAAGCGGTTTGGCTCAGTGGATAGAGCATCGGCCTGCCGACTGAAGGGTCCCAGGTTTGATTCCGGTCAAGGGCTTGTACCTTGGTTTCAGACACATCCCCGGTAGGAGGTGTGCAAGAGGCAGCTAATCGAGGTTTCTCTTTCACCAATGTTTCTAACTCTCTATCCCTCTCTCTTCCTCTCTGTAAAAAATCAATAAAATATATTTTTTTAAAAAATAGGAAAAGAAACTGGAAAACTCCCCGATGATCCTGGCATTGCGCCTCCCGTGTCCGGGTGGATCCTGTGCCCACGGAAACCACAGCTCGACCTTCTTGGCTGCAGCTGCTGGGGAGCAGGAGAGATAGCGAGAGCACAAAACTAGGTTTTGAAGATCAAGTAAATTCTCCTGCTGGCTCAGAAGTATCTCAACATCCTACCGATGGTTTACTCAATGATCCTGAGAGAAGCATTTGCTGGCTCTACCTCCGGGCCGGCCGCCTCCTCGAGGAGCGCCCGTGCTGAGATGCAGGCCTGGGGCGGAGGCAGGGTGGCGGTTCCAGCCACACCGGGCACTGCATCGCTCCCTGGCGGAAGCACGGGGTGCAGTGACGCCTCCCGGTGTCCGCCATCGCCGAGTGCTGCTCTGTGCCGCGGTGTGAGCCCCGAGGGGAAAACGGAGAGCTTGTGCCCAAAGCTTACTGCAGTGGGTCTCAGTCAAGGACTGGAGCGGAGGTGGGCAAACTACAGCCCAGACAGCCACCTGGCTTCAAAATAAAGTTTTATTGGAACACCAGCGACACCCATTTGTTTAATTGTGGCTGCTCTGCTCCACCACCACAGAGCTGAGCCTGCAGAGCACGTGGCCTAAAATACTTTCTATCCGGCTCTTTACTGACCCCAGGGTTAAAGGGAAACACTAATGCGTAACCAAGAACTGAGAGAAGTGATCAGGGAACAAATGATTTGCAAATGAGTCTGAGAGAGGAGGGGCTGGCTGAATGAATGACAACAAAGGGGCATGAACTACGTGAGGCTCGATTACTCTGAAGAGGGAAGGAAGCCACAATGAAATTGCCTGGGACTTACATTTAACGTATGCAATGTGACTGCGTGCAGCTGGTTTAAACAGAAAGCTGCTACCTGATCTGTGGGAGGAGAGGAGCCTCATCGGGAACTGTGACAAGCCCAGTGCCCACGCGGGGCAGCCGGTGGCGGCGCCAGGGGACCGGCGGCCCGGCCCTGCGGCTTTTCCTCCCGGCCGCTCCGGCTCCGGAACCAGCCGCCCCGCCCACGGCTCCGCACAGGCCTCGCTCCGCGAGCAGGTCATAGGGTTTGCGGGTCACACCCTGTGCTTTAAGCGAATAAAGCAAAGCTCCTTAGTCACCGGGGCTTCGTCACAGCCGTCTGCTTTCTCTGCTACTTAAATACCAACTGAAGTCATACTGATACGAATCAAATTCTTTTTATTTTTTAATCCTCACCTGAGGATATTTTTAAACTGATTTTTAGAGAGTGGAGGGAGGGCCGAAACCGGTTTGGCTCAGTGGTGGAGCGTCGGACTGCGGACTGAACGGTCCCGGGTTCGGTTCCGGTCAAGGGCATGTGCATGGGCTGCGGGCACATCCCCGGTGGGGGATGTGCAGGAGGCGGCTGGTCGATGTCTCTCTCCCTTCATCTCTGTAAAAATCAATAAAATAAAAAAAAATAAAAAATAAAAAGAGTGGAGGGAGGGAAAGAGACAGAGGGAAACATCGATGTGAGAGAAACACATCGACTGTCTGCCTCCCCAAAGTGCTCCAACCTGGCCAAGGACCAAGCCTGCAACCCAGGTGTGTGCCCGCGGCCAGAACCAAAACCAGCTCCTCCGTCTGAGGCTGAGCTCTGTCCACTGAGCCACACCAGCCGCGGCTGAGCCCGTTCGCTGCTCCCCGACAACCGCAGAACCAGCGGCGGAGCCGGCCGGCGGCTGCAGGCAGGCGGCCTCTCTCTGCTGTGCAGCAGCCCGCCGCGGGGACAGGGCTGTGGGCATCCAGTGGGCTCCTGCCCGGAGCTGCCGCTGAGCCCCGAGGTGAGTGCGGGGAGAGGCTGCCTCCCGCACAGCCGGGGGCCGGACCGAGCCCCACCGGGAGAGGGGAGAGGGCTCCCCACGCCAGCGCCGCGGAGGCCGTGGGCGCCCACCCCGCGGACGGGCGCTCAGAGCAGGACCGGGCGCACACGCTGGCCTGTCCGGAAAGCCGTCTGCGGAAACCACGCATAAACGCGGGATCTGGCCGTGGTCCAGGAACCCAGCTGAGGATCAGGAAGGAAAAAAAACTAGAAAATAAGGATGCCGTCCGAGGGAGGGCCCCCCACGGCCGAAGAGGGCGGCGCGGTCCATCTCACTCCGCGGCGCAGCGCGCACGTGCTCCCGCGCAGAGGGAGGCAGAGCATGGGGGGTGCACACCACGGAGCGGCCACCCCCACGGAGCTCCCGTGCAGCAGACAGTCCTCGTCCGGCTCGGAATGAGGCTGAAACGCTGGCAGCAAAGCCCAAATGTTCCCCAAAGCACCTTCTTGCATCTTGTGAGGAAACACAGACGACAGAACCTCACATCCATGTGCCGGTCCTCAGGCTGCTTTTCAACCCCAGCCCCGAGCACCGCCCGGGACAGCCGTGTCTCTGCCGACAGGTCCAAGAACGTGTACAAAAGCTGGTGCACCACACACTGGAAATGCCGCGTAGCCGCGGCGAGGAGGCGGGTCTCCCTCCAGCCCGGTGCGGACCAGCCAGTGCGTCCCTCGAGCTACTCCTCCATCTGCGCCCAGGCCTCCTCCGCCTTCTCGTAGTACTGGTTGGCCAGCCGGCCCTTCATGGCCTCCATCGCTGCCTCGGCCGCCTGGGTGTACAAGTCGCCTGAAAGACAGCAAAGGGGCCTCACACAGCTGAGCCAGCCCAGGATCCCCCAGCTCCCCGGGAGCTGCACCCCAGTACCACCAATTCCCCCTCCCTCCAGACGACCTGGGCGGGGCTCTGGCCCGGACAGACGGAGGCACAGCCAATCAGAGCAGCCAGCTCAGTGAGCACCAGGACTGGCACAGGGGGTAAAGGGGTGGGGGGTGCTTCCATCTGAGCCAATGAGAAGCAGGCTGAGCCTTCGCAGGCCCGTTTGGGGAAGGTATGCAAGCGGAAGAAACAAAGATCACAAACAGCCACTGTCAGTTCCGGGCAGGTTTGGCACCAGATGGATTTGTGCCACACGAATAAAAACACGGTTCTTGAGAGCTTCTGAGATTTAGGAATTCCAAATAAAGAATTATAGAACTGCTTAATTTTGTATTCACCCTGAACATTTTTTAAAAACCTAGCCTCATTCCCCTTACCTGTGAAATAAGAAAATAAGGAGTGCAGCATGTTTATTGTATAACAGAAAAAACATCCAATGTGTGTCAGCTGCTGAGTGGATAAGCAGAATAGAGCTCATTTGTATAAGGAATGTTATCCTCTCTAATGAAAGAGAAACATGCAAATTGACCGCACCTTCGCTACACCCACAAGCCATGCCCAACAGCCAATCAGGGTGAGTATGCAAATTAACCCAACAAAGATGGCAGTTAATTTGCATACCCAGGCCAGAGCAAAGACTGAAGACAGCGTAGAAAGAAGCCAAGCCTGCAGAAGGGAGCGAAGAAGGGAGAGAAGCAAGCAAGGCAGGGAGAAGGGAGAGAAGAGGGTGGGCAGCGGAGACAGCAGGAAGCTCTATTGCAGGAATCTTCCTGCAAGGGGCATCTAGATAGTTAGGTAATAAAAAGTAATGAAGTACTATACACGCTACAACATGGATGGACCTTGAAATATGCTCCGTGAAAGAAGCCAGACACAGAAGCCACATATTGTATGGTTCTCTTTACGAATGTCCAGAATCGGTAAATCCACACAAAAAGCAGGTTAGGGGTTTGCAGGAACCGAGGGGGCGGGAAGTCACTGCTACCAGGGACCGGCTTTCTCTTCGGCAAGCGGGGAGTATTCTGGGCTGAGATGGCGGTGCTGGGTGCTCGGCACCTGAAGAGACTTACTCCACCGCACGCGTGCATTTTACAACGGTGAGTTTCAGGTTAGGAAATGTCAGTTCAATTGATTTTTAATAGTAAAACCGCCACCCAAACCAAAACCAAACAAGCCCTAAACCCCAAGCCGTTGACATAGGACCATTAAATATACATGCTCGCCTGCACACCAGCTCCACGAAGCCCCTAGCCAGCCCCGTGCAGGATCGGCCTGGCAGAACGGAGGGCCAGGAGGCAGAGCCGTGGCCCGCACCTCCCTGCCCCCCCCCGGGGCAGGCTCCCGTCCTACCTGACCGCTGCGGGTCCCTGGGCAGCCGGAAGCCGCCCGCCAGCAGCATCTCGGCCTCCCGGGCCAGCAGTGCGTACCGCGGCTCGTCCGCCATCCCGTCGTACCCCCCGCCCTCGTCGCAGTCCGACTTCTCCAGGGCGGAGCTGTACCAGTGCAGTGCCTCCGGCCAGTCCCGGGACCTGGGCAGGAGACAGAGCGAGCAGGGCGTTACCATGGCAGCCGGGAGGGCAGGAGAAGGCCCCGGGGCCGAGGAGCGGGTCTGGGACCCTCAGGGGCCCCCCCAGGAACCCCGACTCAGCACCAGCTGCCACCACAGTGCGGGCCTCGCCCAGCCCTCAGGCTGCACATCAGTGAGGGCACCGGGCTGTCCCGTCAGGGCCGCTCCCCGCAGCGGTGCGAGCGGCTTCCCTGAGCCTGGCAGCACGGGCAGCAGCCGGCGCCATCGGTCTGTGCTGGGGCTGGGTGAGGGGGCGAGTGGCCCCTTTGCACGGCTCAGACCCTGTGAGAGAATGGCCATTGCAGACTCCGGGAGGGGCGGCTCTCCGCTCCGCCTCCAGCCTCCTCTCTGCCTCCAGCCTCCGCTCCGCCTCCAGCCTCCTCTCTGCCTCCAGCCTCCTCTCCGCCTCCAGCCTCCGCTCCGCCTCCAGCCTCCTCTCCGCCTCCAGCCTCCTCTCCGCCTCCAGCCTCCGCCCTGCCTCCAGCCTCCGCTCCGCCTCCAGCCTCCGCTCCGCCTCCAGCCTCCGCTCTGCCTCCAGCCTCCTCTCCGCCTCCAGCCTCCTCTCCGCCTCCAGCCTCCGCTCCGCCTCCAGCCTCCGCTCTGCCTCCAGCCTCCGCTCCGCCTCCAGCCTCCGCTCTGCCTCCAGCCTCCGCTCCGCCTCCAGCCTCCGCTCCGCCTCCAGCCTCCTCTCCGCCTCCAGCCTCCGCTCTGCCTCCAGCCTTGGCTCTGCCTCCGGCCTCGGCTCTCTGCTGCCTCTCCTCCGGCTCCCAGCCCGGCTTCGCCCCAGGCCGGTTCTCTGCTCCCAGACACACAGCTCAGCTCCTTCCTCTCCCTCACCCGGCTCCTCAGCGCCTGAGCCTCCTCCTCAGCCGCCCTCTGACACCCATTTCCTACGACGGCTCCGGTCTGTCGCTCAGCGCGAGGACAGGTCCCGAGGACACGGCCCGGGAGGCAGGGCCGGGCGGTGAACACGCTGGCCAGGAGGCCTCAGGCGCGCACTGACCCCCCTTCGTTTTACCGACACCCAGGCCAGCCCCGGTGCCGCGGACACCCAGGTCAGCCCCGGTGCCACGGACACCCAGGCCAGCACCGGTACCACGGACACCCAGGCCGGCCCCGGTGAAGCCGACACCCAGGCCAGCCCTGGTGCCGCGGACACCCAGGCCGGCCCCGGTGCCGCGGACACCCAGGCCAGCCCCGGTGAAGCCGACACCCAGGTCAGCCCCGGTGCCGCCGACACCCAGGCCAGCACCGGTGCCGCGGACACCCAGGCCGGCGCCGGTGAAGCCGACACCCAGGCCGGCCCCGGTGCCGCAGACACCCAGGCCGGCCCTGGTACCACGGACACCCAGGCCGGCCCCGGTACCACGGACACCCAGGCCAGCCCCGGTGAAGCCGACACCCAGGCCGGCCCCGGTGAAGCCGACACCCAGGCCGGCCCCGGTCCCGGAGGGGAAGCTCCGCCTGGACCCAGTTCCCAGTCCTCCCCTCTCCCCCACCCGCGCCCCCCAGGGGTGGCCACAGTACCTGTCTGGGCTGAGGTTCTGGCCAGTATCAAAAGCCCGTGCCACCAGGATCATGGACTGCCTGTCGCCAGCTCCCGCCGCCTTCAGTAAGTAATCGAATCCTTTGGTCTTGTTTTCTTCCGTCTCCTGCCGATGCCAACCAGAGGGAGGGGGAGAGTGAGCCTGCTGGCGGGGCTGCGGGCCACGGCCCCTCGCACCGGGTGCTGGGAGCGCCAGCGGTCCGCTGAGCACGGCGTGAGACGGGCGGGCAGCGCGGCAGGAGCCCCTGGTGCCCACGGAGGGCGGGCGGAAGCTTACCCGCTCCTGCTCACTGCCGTCTACCAGCTCTGACTTCCGACAGGCAGGCCCGCCCTCCCCCTCTGAGACATCCTTTACACCACAGAACCCCGTGGAAGCACGCACACCGACAGTGTCAGCATTCAGCACGACGCGCAGCCATCGCTGTGACACTCAGACAACGGCACACAGCCTCACCGCACCTCCAGGCGCCCATCCCACCAGCCCTGGCAGCACTGTTTCTCTCTTATTCTTCTCAGAGAGGAAGGGCGAGGGAGAGAAAGAGAGAAACACCAACGATGAGAGGCTATCACTGATCGGCTGCCTCCCGCACATCCCTTGTCAGGACCAAGCCAGCAACCCAGACACGTGCCTCACTTGGAACCGAACTGTGACCACGTGGTTGGTGCTCAACCACTGAGCCACACCAGCCAGGCTCACCTATCATCTGTTTCTAGAGATTCCCCTGTTCTGGACATTTAATACGAATGAAATCATAGAACATGTGGCTGGCCTCTTCCCCACAGCATAAAGCATTCAGGTTTATCTGTGCTGTGGCAGGTACCAATGCTTCATTCTTCTTCTTCTTCTTCTTCTTTTTTTTTTTAATATATTTTATTGATTTTTTACAGAGAGGAGAGAGGGATAGAGAGTTAGAAACATAGATGAGAGAGAGACATCAATCTTGCACACCCCCTACTGGGGATGTGCCCGCAACCAGGGTACATGCCCTTGACCGGAATCGAACCCAGAACCTTTCAGTCCAAGGCTGACGCTCTATCCATTGAGCCAAACCAGTTTCGGCGCTTCATTCTTCTTGTGGCCAAATAGCATCCCATTGTGTAGCTATGCCACATTCTGATTATTCAGCCCTGGCCAGTGTGTTCAGTGGTTAGAGTGTTGGCTGTCCACCCAAGGGTCACAAGTTCAATTCCAGGTCAAGGGTTTGCTCCCCACCCCTAATCAGGGTGCATGCAGGAGGCAACCAGTTAATGTGTCTCTCTCACATTGATGCTTCTCTCTCTTTCTCTCCCCCTCCCTCCCACCCTCCCTCCCTTTCACTCTCAATGAAAAACAATGAAAAAAATATCTTCAGGTGGGGGTTAACAACAAAAAAGGATCACTCCCTGGTTATTTCACTACATGCTAGAGGCCCTGTGCTCAAAATTCATGCAGGGGTAGGGGGGAGGAGTGGTCCCCTCAGCCCCACCTACACCCTCTTGCAATCTGGGACCACTAGCTCCTAACCACTGGCCTGCCTGCCTGATCGCCCCTAACTGCTTGCCTGCCTGCCTGATCACCCCCAACCACTCTGCCTGCCTGATCACCCCCAACCACTCTGCCTGCCTGATCACCCCCAACCACTCTGCCTGCCTGATCACCCCCAACCACTCTGCCTGACTGGTCACCCCCCCAACCATTCACCTGTCTGCCTGAACACTCCCAACCACTCTGCCTAATCACCCTAACCACTCTGCCTGCCTGCCTGATCACCCCTAACCACTCACCTGCCTGCCTGATCACCCCCAACCACTCTGCCTGCCTGCCTGATCACCCCTAACCACTCACCTGCCTGCCTGATCGCCCCTAACCACTCTGCCTGCCTGCCTGATCACCCCTAACCACTCACCTGCCTGATCACCCCTAAACACCTTGGCTTTGGCCCCTGCTGTGGCAGCTTTGTCCGGAAATGATGTCCAGAAGGTTGTTTGGCTGTCCGGTCTAATTAGCATATTATGCTTTTATTATTCTAGATGGTCTTGGATCTGATGACTGTGCCTTGGGCTGCCCTGTGCCGTGTAGGGTGTTCGGCAGCATCCCTGCTAGTGCCAGCTGCATCCCCAGAGCTGCGACAAGCCATGTCGCTGGACAGCCAGTCTCTGGACAGCCAGTGTCTCTGGACAGCCAGTCTCTGGACAGCCAGTGTCTGGACAGCCAGTCTCTGGACAGCCAGTGTCTGGACAGCCAGTGTCTCTGGACAGCCAGTGTCTGGACAGCCAGTGTCTCTGGACAGCCAGTGTCTCTGGACAGCCAGTGTCTGGACAGCCAGTGTCTGGACAGCCAGTCTCTGGACAGCCAGTGTCTGGACAGCCAGTCTCTGGACAGCCAGTGTCTCTGGACAGCCAGTCTCTGGACAGCCAGTGTCTGGACAGCCAGTGTCTGGACAGCCAGTGTCTCTGGACAGCCAGTGTCTCTGGAAAGCCAGTGTCTGGACAGCCAGTGTCTGGACAGCCAGTCTCTGGACAGCCAGTGTCTCTGGACAGCCAGTCTCTGGACAGCCAGTGTCTCTGGACAGCCAGTCTCTGGATAGCCAGTGTCTCTGGACAGCCAGTGTCTGGACAGCCAGTGTCTCTGGACAGCCAGTGACTGGACAGCCAGTCTCTGGACAGCCAGTGTCTCTGGACAGCCAGTCTCTGGACAGCCAGTCTCTGGACAGCCAGTGTCTCTGGACAGCCAGTCTCTGGATAGCCAGTGTCTCTGGACAGCCAGTGTCTGGACAGCCAGTGTCTCTGGACAGCCAGTGTCTGGACAGCCAGTCTCTGGACAGCCAGTGTCTCTGGACAGCCAGTCTCTGGACAGCCAGTCTCTGGACAGCCAGTGTCTCTGGACAGCCAGTCTCTGGACAGCCAGTGTCTGGACAGCCAGTCTCTGGACAGCCAGTGTCTGGACAGCCAGTCTCTGGACAGCCAGTGTCTCTGGACAGCCAGTCTCTGGACAGCCAGTGTCTCTGGACAGCTAGTGTCTGGACAGCCAGTGTCTCTGGACAGCCAGTCTCTGGACAGCCAGTGTCTGGACAGCCAGTGTCTCTGGACAGCCAGTGTCTGGACAGCCAGTCTCTGGACAGCCAGTGTCTCTGGACAGCCAGTCTCTGGACAGCCAGTCTCTGGACAGCCAGTGTCTCTGGACAGCCAGTGTCTCTGGACAGCCAGTCTCCGGACAGCCAGTCTCTGGACAACCAGTGTCCCCTGGAAAGCGGAGGCAGAGGGGCTGGCGGAGAACCACCGGGTTTGAAACTGGGTGGACGCACCCCGAAACCGTGTCCTCTGCTCACTTCCTCCCAAGCTGCGCTCAGCGATGTCACACTTAGGAACTCGGCCACATTTACAACACAGGAAGCAGAAACTGCTACAAGTCAAGGTTTGAATAACTGTCTTTCTGACTAATTTGGTTGAAAAAGAGATGAAAGGATATTCATAACGCAGATTAACCTAAAAGCGCGGGGCCTGTCGTTACAGTGTGCCAGCACAGGACACTGAGGACATCCTTCCTATTATCGGCATGAGGCTGCTCTATCAGCGGCAAATGAACTAACTTCCGATTCGGACAGAGACCTTCCTCATTTCACCTTCCTCTTACATTTGAAGTAAATGAAAGTTTCAACCAACATTTCAATGGCCAATGTTTATGTCAGAATGTCACACCTCCCTCAGCTGCAACCACAGTGGGTAGCAGATATAAAGATTCACAATAAGTACCAAAGCATCCGTGAGAATACCGACTGTATCGAATTTACGATGGTCTTTTAAGAATATATATATTATTGACTTCAGAGAGGAAAGGAGGGGGGAGAGAGAGAAAGAAACACCAGTGACGAGAATCGCTGATCCGCTGCCTCCTGCACGCCCCACACGGGATTGAGCCTGCAACCCAGGCAATGTGCCCTGACCGGGAACTGAACTCTGACCTCTTGGTTCATAGGTCGATGCTCAACCACTGAGCCACACCGGCCAGGCAACGATGGAGCCGTTTCATGCTCTGGCCAGTGTGGCCCTTAGCTGGAGTGTCCTCCCATCTGCTGAAAGGCGAGCATCCTGTGATAATCCACTGAACATATGGAATTTATAAGAGAGTGTTTGCTCTCCTGTTAATCCTCACCCGAGGATATTCTTTCCATTGATTTTCAGAGAGTAGAAGGGAGGGAGGGGGCAAAGGGGAGGGGCGGTAGAAGAGAGAGAAACATCGATTGGTTGACTCTTGCACATGCCCTAACTGGGGCCTGGGATCGACCTGCAACCCAGGTATGTGCCTTTGGGAATCGAACCCGTGACCCTCAGTGCCTGGGCCGAGGCTCTACCACTGAGCCACATCGGCCAGGGCTACAATAGAGTATTTTCATGCCCTGGCTGGTGTGGGCCGGTTGGTTGGAGCGTGGTCTCGGGACTCTCCTCCCCTCATGGTGCCCAGGGGCTTCCCACCCCACATCCCGCAGCGCCAGACCCCACACAGCCTCCTCTCCGCCCCCAGGCCGCGGGCTCTGGCCGCAGACCTGCCGGCCTGTGTGCCCCTCCCCGAACTGCTCTTACTCACCACCCGGCCTTCAGGTCTACCTCAAATGTCCTCTTATTCACCGACCCACAAGCAAATCCTAAGCACCTACTATGTGCTGGGCTGCTCTGGCCTCAGGGCACCGCGGAGCCAGCGCTGGGGAAGCAGCGGGCCGGCCCAGGCAGGGCTCCCCTCTGTCCACCCGTCTCTCCAGCTTCTCCCCCTGCCCGGACCTGCCGTAAACGCCCCAGGGCGAGGCCCTCCGGCTCTCCGGCGGTCAGGCCGGTGGGAAGGCGGCGGGGGCCTCACCTGCAGGGCCACCTCGGCCAGGATGTGGTGCGGCAGCTGCGAGTACAGGAGCCCCAGGCCCACGACGGCCTCCAGCTCGCCCAGGTCGGCCGCGTGCTCCAGGTGGAAGAGGGCCGACTCCCGGTCCCAGGCCCCGTCCTGCCCGCAGAAGCGCCCGCCCTCGTGGTAGCGCACCAGGGCCAGGTGGACCTGCACAAGACGGGCGTGGGCGGTGAGCGGGCGGTGCGGCGAGGCCGGACCAGGGAGGGCTCAGCAGAGGCATCGCCCCTACCTTCCCCAGCACGGACTTCCCGATCCTGCGGCCGAGGTCCAGGGCGCTAAGCCTGCGCACTTCCAGGGCCGCGGCGGAGGGCCTGGGCAGGTGGAGGCGGGCGGGGTTAAGGAGGCTCCACTTCTCCACACAGACCTGGGGAGAGAGCCGGGCATGGCTTCCGGGCCGGAGGCCGGGGCAGACCCTGAGGGTGCCGAGTTCTCTGGGACCAGCGGCCCCAGTTCCAGTCACTCAGCTCGGTCAGCTCGTGGCACCCAGGCCGGACCACGGCCAGACCACGAGGCTCGGAGAGGCGCCGCCCTACAGGCCAATCTGGGTGAGGTCGGAGGCGAGCCCAGGCCCGTGGCCCGCCCTCCACCCGCTCTGCTCTCCTCCGATGCAGGTGCTCCGGGACGTCCCAGCTGAACACGCCCATCCGCCCACCAGCGACCTCGGAACCAGGAGGTCACAGTGCCAATCCCGGTCAGGACACACGCCCAGGTCACGGTGACTCCCGGCTGGGGGCATGCAGGAGGCAGCCAATCATGATTTCCTCTCACCATTGATGTTTCTCTCTCTCCCCCTCTCCCTTCCCCTCTGAAATCAATAAAAATATATTTGAAAAATAAAATAATAAAACCCGGTTGAAAAGTTCCTCCAGAGCAGCGCCGGCAGACGTGTGTGCCAAGCACCCCACAGCCACGCGGCCCCCACGGAGGGTGGTCCGGCTCCGGACGCCTGTGCCACAGCTGAACACCGTGCCGGGCCTGGCTGAGCCCGGACCCAGCCGGAGGGAGGGACCCAGGGCCGGGGTGAGCCCGGACCCAGCGGGAGGGAGGGACCCAGGGCCTGGCTGAGCCCGGACCCAGCCGGAGGGAGGGACCCAGGGCCGGGGTGAGCCCGGACCCAGCCGGAGGGAGGGACCCAGGGCCGGGCTGAGCCCGGACCCAGCGGGAGGGAGGGACCCAGGGCTGGGCTGAGCCCGGACCAAGCGGGAGGGAGGGACCCAGGGCTGGGCTGAGCCCGGACCCAGCGGGAGGGAGGGACCCAGGGCCGGGGTGAGCCCGGACCCAGCGGGAGGGAGGGACCCAGGGCCGGGGTGAGCCCGGACCCAGCGGGAGGGAGGGACCCAGGGCCGGGGGGAGCCCGGACCCAGCGGGAGGGAGGGACCCAGGGCCGGGGTGGGCCCGGACCCAGCGGGAGGGAGGGACCCAGGGCCGGGGTGAGCCCGGACCCAGCGGGAGGGAGGGACCCAGGGCCGGGGTGAGCCCGGACCCAGCGGGAGGAGGGACCCAGGGCCGGGGTGAGCCCGGACCCAGCGGGAGGGAGGGACCCAGGGCCGGGGTGAGCCCGGACCCAGCCGGAGGGAGGGACCCAGGGCCAGGGTGAGCCCGGACCCAGCCGGAGGGAGGGAGCCCAGGCTGTGCTCAGAGGGAGCTCAGGGCCGGGGTGAGTGGGCTGTGCTCAGAGGGAGCGGGAGGGAAGGCCCTTCAGGCCGGAGGGGCTCCGTAGTGGAGGCTGGAGGAGGCTGGAGGCAGGACCAGAGGGCCCCCGCCTGTGGGCTGCGCCCCCCAGGGTGAGGACACGCCAGGTAGCCAGTAGCTGGGGAGCGAGTGAGACCTGTTTCCTCATCCTAACGTGGGGCAGCACCATTAGCCTGTCTCCGGGGCTGTCAGGAGAGTTAGCTAACGTCACAGCCGCTGTGTGGGCGGAACTGGGACAGTGAGCTGTGGCTGTTTGACCCCCTCTGGAACCATCCCTAATCCTCCCCGAGCCCCCATCGCCTGCCAGGGAGGGGCTCAGAGAGAGGGAGGGGCTCAGAGGGGGGAGGGGCTCAGAGAGGGGAGGGGCTTGGAGAGAGGGGAGGGGCTCAGAGAGGGGAGGGGCTCAGAGAGGGGAGGGGCTCAGAGAGGGGAGGGGCTCAGAGAGAGGGGAGGGGCTCAGAGAGAGGGGAGAGGCTCAGAGAGGGGAGGGGCTCAGAGAGAGGGGCTCAGAGAGAGGGGAGGGGCTCAGAGAGGAGAGGGGCTCAGAGGGGAGGAGCTCAGAGAGAGGGGAGGGGCTCAAAGAGAGGGGAGAGGCTCAGAGCGAGGGGAGGGGCTCAGAGCGAGGGGAGGGGCTCAGAGAGGGGAGGGGCTCAGAGAGGGGAGGGGCTCAGAGAGAGGGGAGGGGCTCAGAGAGAGGGGAGGGGCTGAGAGAGAGGGGAGGGGCTCAGAGAGAGGAGGGGCTCAGAGCGAGGGGACGGGCTCAGAGAGGGGAGGGGGGAGGGGCTCAGAGGGGAGGGGCTCAGAGAGAGGGGAGGGGCTCAGAGAGGGGAGGGGCTCAGAGAGAAGGGAGGGGCTCAGAGAGAAGGGAGGGGCTCAGAGAGAGGGGAGGGGCTCAGAGAGAGGGGAGGGCCATCGCCTGCCCAGGGAGGGGCTCAGGGGACAGAGAGAGGGCCATCGCCCGCCCAGGGCAAGGAGACTGACTTCTTTGCAGCATGGCCCTCAGGAGGCATGAAGTGCAGGGTGGGCTGTAGGGTGTGAGCATGACATGGGCAGCCAGGGACACAGCCAGCTAAGGTGGGGGTGGGGGGGAGACCCAGGCAGCTGGGGGGGGGCACAGACAGCCGGCGTACACAGACAGCTGGACACACACACACACACACACACACACAGTCAGCCGGGGGAACACAGACAGTTGGGGGTGGACGGACACAGGCAGCCGGGGGACACAGACAGCCGGACACACACACACACACACACACACACATTCAGCCAGGGGAACACAGACAGTTGGGGGTGGACGGACACAGGCAGCCGGGGGACACAGACAGCCGGACACACACACACACACACACACACAGTCAGCCAGGGGAACACAGACAGTTGGGGGTGGACGGACACAGGCAGCCGGGGGACACAGACAGCCGGACACACACACACACACACACACACACACACAGTCAGCCAGGGGAACACAGACAGTTGGGGGTGGACGGACACAGGCAGCCGGGGGACACAGACAGCCGGACACACACACACACACACACACACAGTCAGCCAGGGGAACACAGACAGTTGGGGGTGGACGGACACAGGCAGCCGGGGGACACAGACAGCCGGACACACACACACACAGTCAGCCGGGGGAACACAGACAGTTGGGGGTGGACGGACACAGGCAGCCGGGGGACACAGACAGCCGGACACACACACACACACAGGCAGCTGGGGGGACACAGGGGCCTCACCCGTGCGCAGCTGCCCAGGCTGTCTTCGTCCGACTCGGACCTCTGGCTGCCGCTGGAGTGGCCCTGTGGATGCAGAGAGGTCAGAGGGCAGCTCCCCCGCCGGGCGGCCCTGCACCTCCCCCAGGAGCTCCCTCAGGCAACGGCCCCGGGGAAGCTGGAGCGCGGCGGAGACTGTGGGGACAGGCAGGACCCCGTGCCGGAGGGCGGGGCCCCGTGCCGGAGAGGGGGGGGCCGTGCCGGAGAGGGGGGGCCGTGCCGGAGAGGGGGGCCCGTGCCGGAGAGGGAGACCCCATGCCGGAGAGGGGGGGCCCCGTGCCGGAGAGGGAGACCCCATGCCGGAGAGGGGGGGCCCGTGCCGGAGAGGGGGGGCCCGTGCCGGAGAGGGGGGCCCGTGCCGGAGAGGGGGGCCCGTGCCGGAGAGGGGGGGCCCGTGCCGGAGAGGGGGGCCCGTGCCGGAGAGGGGGGCCCGTGCCGGAGAGGGGGGACCCCGTGCCGGAGAGGGGGGACCCCGTGCCGGAGGGGGGGGGCCGTGCCGGAGAGGGAGACCCCGTGCCGGAGGGGGGGGGCCGTGCCGGAGAGGGAGACCCCGTGCCGGAGGGCGGGGCCCCGTGCCGGAGAGGGGGGTCCCGTGCCGGAGGGGGGGGCCGTGCCGGAGGGGGGGAGGCCGTGCCAGAGGGGGGGGCTGTGCCGGAGAGGGAGACCCCGTGCCGGAGAGGGGGGCTGTGCCGGAGAGGGGGGTCCCGTGCCGGAGAGGGGGGTCCCGTGCCGGAGGGGGGGGCCGTGCCGGAGAGGGGGGGCCCGTGCCGGAGAGGGGGGGCCCGTGCGGGAGAGGGGGGGCCGTGCCGGAGGGCGGGACCCCGTGCCGGAGAGGGAGACCCCGTGCCGGAGAGGGGGGGCCGTGCCGGAGAGCCACCGCCTTCCTCTCGCGGATCCCGGACCACAGCCGCCCTCGCTCCCCTGCCCGCCTCCCCAGGGACGAGGCTGGACCCAAGGCTCGGAGGCCGGGCTCAGGCGCTGCCGGGGCCGCCCTCCGGCTCTCCCCGCGCCGGTGCCTGGGTGCCGGCCAGCCCCTCCCGCCTCCTTCCCGCTCTACCGCGGGCCCTGCGTCCGCCTCCCGAGCGGCGCTTCTGGTCCCGTACTCGTCCCCCTCACGGCCCACTGTCCCCCCCCCACCCGCCGACGGGGTCGGAGCGTCCTCCCGCGCTCCTTACCCGCTCCCGGGGCTCCGGCTCGTCCAGCTCGCCCCGCTTCTCACTGGGGTAGCCGCTGTCCCCGCTGTTCTCCGAGTCCTGTGGAGAGAGGGCGCCGAGGGCTCAGGGTCCGAGGGCGCGGTGCTGACGGCCGGACCCAGTCCTTCTCCGGAGCATCCTCCGCCCGCCCGCCCGCGGCTGCGACCACAGAGGGAGGCCCCGGCTCTGAGCGCGGCTGCTCCGCCCAAACCGGACCCTGACTGCCCGCGGGCGGGACGTGCCTGCCTACATCCCCTTCGTATGGACTCGTTACAGCGCCCCCGTCAGAGGCCGAGGATAAGTCACAGCCAGCGCCTCCATTTCCCAGGCAGGAACACAGGCTGGTTGAGGGTTCTAAGCCACAGGTGAGATGCAGCGCTGGGACCAGTATCACCACAACTAAGCCTGTGCCAACACTGCACCGGGCACCTGGGTGTGGGTGTGTCCTAGGTCTGAGATCTGCTCAGAAAGGGATCTGGTGTGATGGCAACCGCTAAAACCACCGTCATTTATCTACCATCCCGCTCACACTGTCACTGCTTCCCTTCCACACACACGCAGGAGCGGAGGCCGAGGGGCGCCCCGCTCCCGTCCCGGCTCTGTCACCCCAAAGGCGGCCTCAGTGACTGCTCACTCTGTTTTTACTTAGTTACTTACTTTTGTTAATCCCAGCCTGAGGATGTTTTCCTATTGATTTTAGAGCGTGGAAGGGAGGGGGGGAGACAGAGAGGGAGGAATCGATGTGAGACACCTCGACGGGCTGCCTCCCGCACGTGCCCCGACTGGGGCTGGGGATCAAGCCTGCAACCGAGGCGCATGCCCTTGCCGGGAGTGGAGGGCATGCTGTAACCTCTGGGCACACTGGCTAGGGCTGGATGCTGTTTGCAAAAGGAACTAAAACACTGCTGCTAACGTTAGATCCCTACGCTCGCCCCTCTAGATAGTCGGGAACTCACACCCCTCGCGTGGGGTTTTCCTTTGGACAGCCCTTTCGTGTTACCTCTGTAAGCGCCCTTTTAAAAGAAGTGCGCATCACTGGCTTACACATGAAGCCTGTCTCACTCCCGAACAGGAGGAGCGGAGGCACACACTGGGATCCCAATCCCGGATCTGGCCGGGACCCTCCACACAGAAGCCTGCTGACCTCCCGCCAGCCACCCCCATGCCTCACCCTGTGAGCTGAACGTGCTTTTCCCGGTTTTTAACACAGGCCACCAAATGGAATGCTCCAGGCGTGGAGCGAAGGCTGCTGAGCATGTTTCAGCAGCCTGCCACCCGCACCCCTCATCCCTCCACCAGAATCACGCCGAGCTGAGCAGAGAGCCCTGGCCTGGTGAGGCAGCCAACCTCTCCAGACTGAGGGCTCATCGTCTGAGGGATGGGGGCTACCACAGAGATGGAGGTGCAGGCAGAGACAGCAGAGGGCGTCTGAGCACTGGGTCCTCGCCGAGGGACCAGGAGCGGGTGGCCCACCCTCTGGGTGCCTCCGTGCCCAGAGGTGGTCACGGGCAAAGGGGCAGGTGGCTGAGGCTGGGAGCGAGGCGTCGCTGTGCTGATGCCATTAAAAGGACGGACAGGAGGCGTCTACGCAGTCCTTGCACAGCGTCTGCCCTCGGGGACGGTGCCGAGCGTGTCAGCTGTTCCTTTTCTCTTCCCTCACAATTCTGAAGAGCACTCACGAGTAAATCCAACCTTTGGAGCCATCTGGGGGTGCAGAGTGGTCTGGGTGCGTGTGACCCATCTACAAGGTCTGCTTTAAGAACTCCTGTGAGTTTTAGACCTGATACTGGGACATGTTTGCCTGAATGCAAACACGGTGCTTCCAGTCTTTCACCACTGAGCCACCAGAGCTGCCAGAACCTGCTCCGTTTACCCAGCTGTGCTCTCCCCGCTGGCCGTGCGGCGAGGGGCCTGCTGAGCCCTCCGCGCCCCCCTCCAGCTGTCCACACCACGGGGCTGACCCGCTGAGGGCTGAGCCGCAGCGTCACCACTGTGACCCGGATTCCCTCTCTAACCACTTCACAGGAGCGAGGACCAGCTGTTTCCGAAAAGCACGGCTGCTGAGGGCTGGAGGCTGTTACCTGTGTCCCCGGCCGCACAGAGCAGACCTGGGCGCCCACCTCGGACCCTGAGCACCACCCTCGTTCCCACCGGGACTCCGCCCACCCGCTGCTCCTCCCGCTCCGTACCCGGTGGTTGTCCGGCTGGTCGTGATCTCGGGGAGCCACACCGTCCAAGTCGCTGAACATGGGCCAGTCTGGGCAGGAGAGAGAGACAGAGGAGGTGCTGGGCCCGCTGCTGGGAGTCCCCATGCCCCACCTATGCCTGGAGCTGACTGCTTGGGGCTGCAGTCCCCTTCCTCCTCTCCCGCTGTGGCCTAAGCAGTTGTCTCAATCGGGGTTGCCATGAAGCAGCATGTTGTGAGCGTGTGTGCACGGCCAGAACATGTCTGTGAACGTGTGTGCATGGCCAGGAACATGCCTGTGAGCGTGTGTGCACGGCCAGTAACATGTCTGAGTGTGTGTGCACGACCAGAACATGCCTGTGAGCGTGTGTGCACGGCCAGTAACATGTCTGTGAGCGTGTGTGCACGACCAGAACATGTCTGTGAACGTGTGTGCACGGCCAGGAACATGTCTGTGAGCGTGTGTGCACAGCCAGGAACATGTCTGTGAGCGTGTGTGCACGGCCAGGGACATGTCTGTGAGTGTGTGTGCATGGCCAGGAACATGTCTGTGAGCGTGTGTGCATGGCCAGGAACATGTCTGCGAGCGTGTGTGCACGGCCAGGGACATGTCTGTGAGCGTGTGTGCACGGCCAGGAACATGTCTGTAAGCGTGTGTGCACGGCCAGGGACATGTCTGTGAGTGTGTGTGCACGGCCAGGAACATGCCTGCAAGCGTGTGTGCACGGCCAGGAACATGTCTGTGAGCGTGTGTGCACGGCCAGGAACATGTCTGTGAGCATGTGTGCACAGCCAGGAACATGTCTGTGAGCGTGTGTGCACGGCCAGGGACATGTCTGTGAGCGTGTGTGCACGGCCAGGGACATGTCTGCGAGCGTGTGTGCACGGCCAGGGACATGTCTGTGAGCGTGTGTGCACGGCCAGGAACATGTCTGTGAGCGTGTGTGCACGGCCAGGAACATGTCTGTGAGCGTGTGTGCACGGCCAGGAACATGTCTGTGAGCGTGTGTGCACGGTCAGGGACATGTCTGTGAGCGTGTGTGCACGGCCAGGAACATGTCTGCGAGCGTGTGTGCACGGCCAGGAACATGTCTGTGAGCGTGTGTGCACGGTCAGGGACATGTCTGTGAGCGTGTGTGCACGGCCAGGAACATGTCTGCGAGCATGTGTGCACGGCCAGGAACATGTCTGTGAGCATGTGTGCACAGCCAGGAACATGTCTGTGAGCGTGTGTGCACGGCCAGGAACATGTCTGTGAGCGTGTGTGCATGGCCAGGGACATGTCTGTGTGTGTGCACGCCCAGGAACATGCCTGCAAGCGTGTGTGCACGGCCAGGAACATGTCTGTGAGCATGTGTGCACAGCCAGGAACATGTCTGTGAGCGTGTGTGCACGGCCAGGAACATGTCTGTAAGCGTGTGTGCATGGCCAGGGACATGTCTGTGTGTGTGCACGCCCAGGAACATGCCTGCGAGCGTGTGTGCACGGCCAGGAACATGTCTGTGAGCGTGTGTGCACGGCCAGGGACATGTCTGTGAGCGTGTGTGCACGGTCAGGGACATGTCTGTGAGCGTGTGTGCACGGCCAGGAACATGTCTGCGAGCGTGTGTGCACGGCCAGGAACATGTCTGTGAGCGTGTGTGCACGGTCAGGGACATGTCTGTGAGCGTGTGTGCACGGCCAGGAACATGTCTGCGAGCATGTGTGCACGGCCAGGAACATGTCTGTGAGCATGTGTGCACAGCCAGGAACATGTCTGTGAGCGTGTGTGCACGGCCAGGAACATGTCTGTAAGCGTGTGTGCATGGCCAGGGACATGTCTGTGTGTGTGCACGCCCAGGAACATGCCTGCAAGCGTGTGTGCACGGCCAGGAACATGTCTGTGAGCATGTGTGCACAGCCAGGAACATGTCTGTGAGCGTGTGTGCACGGCCAGGAACATGTCTGTAAGCGTGTGTGCATGGCCAGGGACATGTCTGTGTGTGTGCACGCCCAGGAACATGCCTGCAAGCGTGTGTGCACGGCCAGGAACATGTCTGTGAGCGTGTGTGCACGGCCAGGGACATGTCTGTGAGCGTGTGTGCACGGCCAGGAACATGTCTGTGAGCGTGTGTGCACGGCCAGGAACATGTCTGCAAGCGTGTGTGCACGGCCAGGAACATGTCTGTGAGCGTGTGTGCACGGCCAGGGACATGTCTTTGAGTGTGTGTGCACGGCCAGGAACATGTCTGCAAGCGTGTGTGCATGGCCAGGAACGTGTCTGTGAGCGTGTGTGCACGGCCAGGAGGCCTCTGGTGCAGCTGTGGAGGGAGGATGGCCGTGCGGACAGCTGCGGGCTGTGACGGCGGACAAACCCGCCAACGTGGGGTCCCTCGCCCCAGCCGACGAGGCCCACATGCAGACCTGCCCGCCTTCCCGATGGCTCCAGAACCCCACTTCCTGGTGCCCCGTGTCTGCCTCCTGCTCGAGCTCCCGAGCCACACATGCTGGCCTCTGGTTTTTCCTTTTAAAGACATTACTGCTTCAGAGAGGGAGGCAGAGGGAGACACAGGAACCATTGATGAGGGCACCACTGGCCACTTTCCTCCTGCACGCCCACACTGGGCACTGAGCCCCGCCCAGGCATGCGCCCGGACCAGGAATCGAACCATGACCTCCTGGTTCACAGGTCAAAGACCAACCACTGAGCCACGCCAGCCAGGCCGTCTCCTGTTTTTATGTGGTTTCTTTAAGAATGTTTTTTTCCTTCTTAAATGACTGGAAATATGAAAGACTAACATCTCCCGATAGGTGAAAACCACCTGACATTGGAACGTGGCTGTCCAGCAGGAGTGCTGGCACCCGAGCCACCGTCTGCCAAGCCCATCCACAGGGCGAGCAGGCGCGTGCCCAAGCCGACCGCGTTTCCGGGGCTTGGCCGACCTGCTCCCGCGAGCGCCCGCCTGTGACCGGGAGGGCCCGGCTGGACTGCGGCAGGGCGCAGGCCCGGGTGGGCTCGGGCCCCGCATGGAGCGCGAGGGGCAGCTGGTCGATGACGCGCTCTCTTTAATGACATTGTCTCTCCCTGCCCCCTCCTCTTCCTCCAAAGCCAACACAAACGTTCACACACACACGTGGTTCTGGTCTGCAGCGCTGGCACGTCCCCTCCGACCACAGCCCGGGCCGCTCACTCACCGGGCGGGTCCAGCTTCGGGCTGTGCGGCGTGGCTGCGCACGGGGAGGACGACAGCGAGTCCCAGGCCGCGTCGCTCATGCTCTCGTCTCCGGAGTTCTCCGACAGGCGGGGGCGCAGGGGCGGCCGGGCCCCGGGGAGGCTGCTGGCCAGGGGGCTCCCGCACTTCTCCTCCGTCCCCCGCAGGAGGGTCTGGGCGGACTGCTGAGGAGCAGCGGGGACGCTCACGTCACAGGGCGCCCGCTGGAGGGAGGGCTCCTCCTGCTGCCGCTGCCTGAGCTCTGAGCCCGGCTCCAGCCCGGCTGTCTGCTAACAACAACCCACAGCGGGCCACGCCTCGGCCGAGCCGGGCATTCGTGTCTCCACACGTTCGCAATCCCGTGCGGGGCTTTGCCACCGTTCCTGTGTCTGGGCCATGCAGGGCAGGGTGTGGGCACAGCCTCCACCCAGCCAGGCTCAGGTCTAGTCCTTGGCAAACAGCCTCACGCACACACGTGCGCACACACACGCACACGCGCGCACACACCTCCCCCCCACGCTCTGCCCGCCCGGTCTCCTCACTCTGGGGAAACGGGCCCAAACCAAGGGGAGCCAGTTGCTCCGCTCGTGGGACCCGGGGCTCCGTGCACCGGTTTGGGGGGTGGCCCGATGGGAGGGAGCCCTCCGGTCCCGATGCTCCTCGTTAGGCGGCGCGGAGGGACCCACCAGCAGCGCGGTGCTCTGGTCCACCGCGTCCTGCTCCCGCGGCGAGAGGTCGAAGGGCGTGAGGCCCATGCTCTTGCAGATCCGGTTGCAGGCGTGGGAGTGGAAGAAGAGCGCCATGCCCCGGACCCCTGCGGGCGGACCAGCGGGCGGAGTTGGGGGGGGGGGGCGGGGGGAGCACGCTGAAGTCCCAGGCTCCCCCACCACAGCCCTGCCGAGGCCACGCCTGGCTCCTGAGTGCAAGGAGCTGGGAGGTCTGGGGAGGGGGTGGTCCCCGTGCAACAGGCTGCCCCCACCCACCGAGGTTGCCGTCTCCGAAGTCAGTGCCCTTCTCGGTGTGGATCTGAGGGTCGGTGTAGAGGTCGCCCACACCCTGGATGTCCACCACGATCAGCTGGTGGCCGGAGCGCTCAAAGGTGAAGTGGCTGAAAGCCTGCGGGAGCGGGAGAAGGTGGCGGAGCCGGCTGTGGACCGCCGGCCACTCCGGAGACGGCCTTCTCAGGTCCTGTCCGGGGGCGGGGCTCCGGCAGACAGGGCTGGGGGGTGAGGGTGCCCCGGGAAGCCGGGGCCTGGGGGCCGGGGTGAGACCCGCCTGCCGGGACCCCCGCCCGGCCTCACCTGCGGCGTGAGGCGCGCGTCGTCGCGCACGAAGCCCGAGTTGGAGTTGTACTTGGTGTACTGGCCCTCGATGTAGTGCTCCAGGTGGAAGAGGGGCGCGCCCGGCCGGTCCCTCAGCTCCAGCACGCACATCTGCACGATGTCCACCTGCGGGGTGTGTGTGTGTGTGTGTGTGTGTGTGTGTGTGTGTGTCGGGGCCCGGCGGCACCTCCGGACACGGCCAGCCAGGAGCTGAGGGGCCCGCCCACCCGCAGGGTCCACACCCGCAGCTCCGAGGCAGCCGCTGCCGTCCCCCAATCCACCGCCCCCCCACCCCCACCCCCACCCCCACCGCCCGGCCCGGATGAGCTCCCCAGCTGGGCACCCGCCCCACACGGGCAGTTCGTGAATGAGTCATTAACAGTGAGTTTTTGCACTTCTATGGTTCTAGGGGCCTCATATACAGCATATAAATACAGTGACATGTTTATGCGTTTCAGTTCTCTCTATAGTTTTGAAACTTCATTTTCTATTTTTTCCATATCACTTCATATTGTTATTTTTTAAACAGTTTCTTAGTGGTTTCTTCCTCAGCACTTCAATGTCCTTTCATTCTTTTACTTTTCTCTTTCACGGAGGCCATGTTCTTTGGAAGCTTGCTTAGAGCACGTGAGCAGCTCGCTTTTTGAGTAATAGGAATTCTGTGTCACAGGCCATCGGGCTCTTACAGACTCTCAGAGGGGGCCTGGCCCCAAACAGGCTGGGAACCTCTGTGAGTCTTCCCTTCGAAGGTGGAGGTGTCGGGGGGGGGGGGGGGGGGGCCCTGTGGGAGGTCAGAGGCCCTGAGGGCGGAGCCTGGTGGATGGGGAGGTGCACCCTCCTCCTCCTCCTCCGTGCCAGGTCCAGCCAGAGCGCAGGCTCTGACCCAGGAGGCCTCAGAGGCGACCACCCAGACCCCCATCTTCCCAACCCCTAACACTGTGATGACCACCCAGCCTGCAGCATCCTGTCTAATACAGAGGGGATATGCTAATCGACCCTCACACCATCACAGAGATGGCAGCACCCACAGCCAATAAGGAGGGCATATGCTAACTGACTATCACACCCTCCAAGCTGGCGGCATCCAGTCCCCTCAGCCCCTCAGCCCCCAGGGCCGGCCGAGGCGCAGGTTACCAGGTCCGGCTGAGGCCTGCGCTGCCGGCAGTGGCAGCAGCAGAGGTGGGTGGGGCGTTGCTTCCCCTGATCGCCAGGTCGCCTCCCGCCCGGAGGCTCCCGGACTGTGAGGGGGCAGGTTGGGCTGAGGGATCCCTCCGGTGCACGAATGTCACACCCAGGGCCTCCATTTTGTTATGACAGCCAAATGGAGTAAGACAACCCCAACTCTGCTTTTAACAAGGTGACACTACGCAGCCTGCCCCTGGGGGCGGCCATGGGCCACGCTCAGGCTTCAGGGAGCTCTCGGCGGCGTGGCGTCCAGGGGCGCAGGGGAGCGCGTGGGGTCTGGGCGCTCACATGGCGGGAGGCGGACCCCACACTGCGCAGGGTGGGGCAGCGCCCTGTCCCCGATGCCCACAGGCAAGAGGAGCCTCTGGGTCCTCCGCCTGGGCTCCCGGGGGACACCTCCCGGGGGACGGGAAGGCTGGGTGCTGGGCCCTGGCTCCCCCTCTGCCTGTGAGGAGGCCACTGACCCCTTTGGGTCCTGTTCCCCTCTCCTCCTCCTGCTTTTTCTCGGGTCACACTCTCAGTCCCAGGAGGACCGCATTCCTGGTTCTAATGGTGGACAAGAAGCTCGGCCTGCCCAATCTGGGCGGCCCTCACGGCCGGTTCAGGGAAGGCACCTGGTTACCCGGAGCAACGAGCCCGGCCTGGGCTTTCACGGAGCTCCCGGGGAAACGGCGCTGTCTCCAGGACCGCTGGGGCCGGCAGGCTGCCGCTGTGGCCGGCTGCCGCTGCATGGGCAGCGAGGCCAGGGGTCCCAGCCCTCAGCTCGGTCCTGGCTGTGGGCAGGGCTATCGCTCAGTCCCTGAGGCAAACCTCTCCTTTCTGCATTAAACCCCCTGTGTGGGTTTCTGTCATTTGCAAACAAAAACCCTGACTCTCAGATCCCGTCTGTAAAGGGGATGAGAACACCCCACCGGCTCAACAGCCGTGCATGCCCAGCTCCAGGCCTCGTGCTCGAACCCGGGGCTGCGACAGTGAGACCGTGAGGAAGGAGCCGGGCTGGCACCTCCGCCACCAGGTGTCCTTGTCCCAGCCGCCCGGCGGGGCGGGGCGGGGCGGGGCGCACCTGTTTGGGGGGCTTGTGCCGGTTGTACTCCTGCCCCCAGAGCTTGGCCTCCATCTGCAGACGCACGTCCTCGAAGTACACACCCCGGTCCACCGGCTCCAGGTAGCGCTTGGCCACGTAGTTGGAAGCCGCCCTCCACTGCTGGGCGTGCAGGAAGTTGGACAGCTTCTTCCTGGGGATCAGCGGGGCCGGCTGGGCACTGGGGCTCCCGGGGACCGGGGACCTCGCGGGAGGAGGCTGGCCGGGCCAGGAGCAGGACGGGAGGCGGGAGGGGCTGCCCCTGTCCTCGCCGACCCCTCGGCCTCCGAGGGCCAGAGCTGAGCTGATAGATGGCTCATCCCCCCACACCAGGCCGATCTGGGGCCCAGGGGTTGTGACGGAGGGGGAGGGGGTCCCTCGGAGCCGCTGCACTTACGTCCGGAAGCACTCCCGCATGGCGCCGCGGCCGAAGGGCTGGAAGACACGGAGGCTGTCAGTCCCCCGCCCACAGCAGCACCGAGGCCGAGGTCTCCCCGGGCGGCACACACCACGAACCTCATCCCAACTCCACAATCCGCCCCCTGTCCGGCACTGCACCAGCACCACACCCTCCGCCCCGCCCTGCGCCCTGCCCTCTGCCTGGCACTGCGCCCTCCGCCCTGCCCTGCGCCCTGCCCTCTGCCCTCCGTCCCGCACTGCGCCCTCCGCCCTCCATCCCGCACTGCGCCCTCCGCCCTGCCCTGCGCACTGCACTGTGCCCCACACTGCGCCCTGCCCTCTGCCCTCCGTCCCGCACTGCGCCCTCCGCCCTGCCCTGCGCCCTGCCCTCTGCCCTCCGCCCCGCACTGCGCCCTCCGCCCCGCCCTGCACCCTCCGCCCTGCCCTGCGCCCTGCCCTCTGCCCTCCGCCCCGCACTGCACCCTCCACCCCGCCCTGCGCCCTGCCCTCTGCCCCGCACTGCACCCTCCGCCTTGCCCTGCGCCCTGCCCTCTGCCCTCCGCCCTGCCCTGCGCCCTCCGCCCTGCCCTGCGCACTGCACTGCGCCCTGCCCTCCACCTGGCAGTGCCCTGCACTGCACCCTGCCCTGCATCCTGCCCTCCGCCCTGCCCTCTGCCCTGCACTACGCCCTCTGACCTGCACTGCGCCCTGCCCTCTGACCTCCGCCTGGCACTGTGCCCTCTGCCCTGAGCCCTGCACTGCGCCCTGTGCCCTGCACTGCGCCCTGTGCCCTGCACTGCGCCCACACTGAAGGCTGAAGGACTGGCCTCCCCATTCCCTGGCCCAGCTGAGCAGAACCCTCGGGGGAAGGTGTTACGGGCGAAGGAGTGGGGAGACAGCACATGAGCAGAGCCCACTGTCCGTCAGCAGCACGGTAAGTCACGCGTGTTCACGTGGTGAGACCACACAGCAACGTGTGTGACACTTTCAGTTCCAGCAAAACCAGGCCAAAGCTCGCAGACGGGAATGCTGAGCACAAAAGCCACGCTGGAAGCTCCCCCAGAACGGGCACCAGTGGCGGCGGGCGCCGCTCAGGCCCGGCCTCAGGGCGAGGGAGTGCGGGCGAGGCTCCGGGCGTGGGACCCGCTCCCTGTGCACCCCCAGGCGCCAGGGCAGCTCCCCCCGCCACCCAGAGCAGGGGCCGGCCTTCGCGGCTATTTCTTCCTTCCAAAGGCAGGTGGCAGCCACAGAGTTCACGTTTAACTCAGTAACAGCTGGCAACCTCAATTTCACAACTATTTATAGCCAACGGTCTTCAACAAGAGAGCCAAGAGGGTGTTTTATATACAATGAACAAGTGAAACGTCCAGAACAGGGAGGTCTGGCGGCAGGAGGCACCCTGGGCACTGGCCGCTCCGTGACTCGCCAAAGCCCGGCCTGGTCCCTGTCGTGGGCGTGCTGCGTGTTGTGAGTCCCCTCATACAGCCGCCATGAAAAGTTAAATATTCAGCCTGGCCGTGCGGCTCAGTGGGCAGAGCGCCGGTCTGTGGACTGAAGGGTCAGGGGGCTCCATCCCCAGTGCGGGGTGTGCAGGAGGCAGCCGATCCATGACTCTCTCATCAGTGATGTTTCTAACTCTCCCTCTCTGAGATGAATAAAAATTAAACATACAATACTTCAAAGAACCCCCAAGGTTAGACAGACGGGCCGGAGGAGAGGGAACGGGAACTGGAGTCGGAGTCAGAGAAGCCCCAGCCGCCCTGCACCTGCTCACCTGAGCGGCCATCTTGATCAGAACCTCGTCCTCATGCCACTGGCCGGTGACGGCGTTGTACCTGCGGAAGCAGCGCCGGTCACTGCGGCACCGGCGAGAGGCCTGGCGCCCCTCCCTGCCCGGCGGCCCCGCCCCCGCCCCCAGGGTCCTCCTTCCCTTCCGCACCAGGCGCCCCTGCTCCGCCCCTCAGCTCACCCGGGGCTGGGCGCCGGGCCCAGGGCTGCTGTGGTAACGCACGTGGGTAAGTGACGGAGTAAGCGTCCTTTATGGCCGGCCACCCGACACGGGTGCCCGGGACCGGGGGAGCGGCCCCAGCCTGGCCGGGGGCACGGCCAGCCTGCCCTTCCCAGGAGCCGCTCCCCACCACGCCCGGCTGCAGCGGGTGTGCCAGGGGAAAGTGCCTCGTGTGTCCGTCCGTCCGTCTCTATCTGACCCCTCGCCAGGCCCCAGTTCTTAGTTCCACAGAGGCGTCTGGGGGCGAAGCCGCCAGGACCCACCAGCCCGTGAGGACGGCCTCAGAGCTGACCTCCAGGGGGAGCAGAGGCCGGGGGAAGGCTCAGCCCAGCTCGCGCAGGGGTCAGCTCAGTGAATATAGCAAAGCCGGGCCCACCCCGGGAACAGGCATCTGCCCCAGAGGTCGGCTCGCACCAGCTCTTTCCAGATGGGGGACCCGGGAGGAGGCCTCCAGCTCAGAAACCTCTGGGGTCATGCTGACCACTCCCAGCCAGGGCGGCGACGGCAGAGGCTTTGGCGAGGAAAGAGCAGTTTGGCGGGGCCCGTCTCAGGCCCTGCAAGGCTCGGACACACAGCGCCGGCCCGAGGTGGGTCTTGCTTTCCTGGCAGAGCTCACAGCACCCCCTGCAGGCCCCACGGGGAGGTGGCGGCGGGCGGTGGAGGGGTGCGTGTGGGAGGCTCCACCGCGCCTGCTCCACGGGGCCCTGCTCCGTTCTCGGCACCCGTGGCCGGCGTGAGGGTGAGGCGGAGCCCAGCACCGGGGCTTGTGGCATGTGACCAGGCCTGGCCAATCGGAGCAGCGCTCCCTGGTACAATGTCGGGCTCAGAGACGGGCATATAACCAAAGCCAGGCCACTGAGGTTCAAACGTGAAACCTTTGTTTTAAAAAGGTCCTTTTCTACAGAGTGATATGGGTGGCGGGGCCCCAGGGCCCTTGTGCTGCTGAGATAAGCGTCTGCCTGAGGTCAAAGCTGAAAGATGCTCAGAGCGCCTGGAACCAGCCGTGCCTGAAGCCCACACAGGGCGAAGCACAGTAGGCTTACGGTCGTTTGTATGGAAAACAATACGGCAATTAATAACAGCACAGAATGAACCGTCTCACACACAGCTTACATCTAACTCTGGCCCTGCCTGTATCCGAACCAGATGTTCCTTTTTATCCTTAAGCTGCTTGGACAGGCTCTGCTCCCACATCTGAAACGGAGTTCTGGCTAAAGTGAAGGCTCTGAGGGCCCGCCGGGGCCACAGACTGCGGGCTCCAGGGCAGGTCCACGGGTCTCTTAAATTCTGAGCGACATTAACGTAGCGTGCCGCTTTCTGGACGGCCCTCGGAGTCTCAGAGGGGCCCGGGGCTCGGCACGCCTCCTGCCCGGCTGCCGGTGCCAGGGCAGACGCAGCGCCGGGCACAGCCTGGCAGGAGGACCCCGTACGGCCGTCGCCGTGGCCTCTGCCCTCACACATTCATGTGGTGGCGTGGCTTTGGTTTGCTTTTCACTCTTCCTGAGAAAGCTCTCCCTCCCTCTGCTTTCCAGCAGGGACCAGACCCGGCTGGTGTCTGAGGGTCCCCCTCTCCGAGGCCTCACGGAGCAGAGCGGGACCCAGACCCCAGGCCCGAGGCCGGACGCCTCCCCGGCACTGACCTGTGGCGCCTGGCGCACTCAGCGGCGATGTCCTCCAGGTGGAACTCTGCCCACGGGTCGGGCATGTGCTTGGCCTTCTCGATGGCGTGCTTCCACGCCTCCTGCAGAGGCAAAGGGGCGTCAGCCCGGGGGCTTCCGGGGCGGGGGCCAGCCCCCACCAGCCTGGCTCCGGTCCCCGCCTCCAGGGAGGCGCCGGGAGAGAGGAGCACGCACCGTCCCTGTGACATAGTTTAATCTTAACGTCCTGTCAGGTGGGGGGACTGGGGGCGCGGGGACAGGGCACGGGGGGGGGGGCCCCCCACGGGGACCAGGGACGGGGACGGGGGGGGGGGGGGGGGGGGATGGGGGGTGCGCGGGGACGGGGGGGGGGTGCGCGGGGACGGGGGGGGGGTGCGGGAACGGGGGGGGGGGGGTGCGCGGGGACGGGGGTGCGCGGGGACGGGGGTGCAGGCTGGCACAGCTGCGAGCTCTCGGGGTGACCAGTGCGAGAGGCACACGGTGGCTGTGGCTGTGGCCTCGCTAGTGTTACTGGTTTTAATGCACCACTTACCACCCTGAACCCCAGTCCGAGAGCGTGGCCCCTCGGCTCCGAGCACCTGAGCCACAGCAGGTGGCACCTCCCCGGCCGGCGCCAGGCCGCGGTGCCCCCGCCGAGGCTGTGACGACTAACATCGTCCCAGACGCTCAGGCTGCGAGGCCCGGCTCTCCGGGACCCACTCGGCCGGCGAAGCCACGTCATGAAAACGGAGAGAGTTCTCTCCACTGGCTCGTGGTTCGGCCCCATTTTTGTTGTAAAACCTCATTTTATGGCTTTTACATAACCTCAACGTGGACCCCCAGCCCGCCCCCACCAACCAGCACTCCCGACACCCACACTCAACACCCGCACTCGGCAATCCTCTCCCTCTTCCCGAGCAGCCGGAACCTCACCCCGCGGCCGAGACAGCCCCTGTCCGGGCCCAGGCGGAGCCGGAGCAGCCAGCAGGCGTGGACCATGCCTGGGCATGGCAGGGCAGACCTCCTCACCCCATACCATCCCTCAGCCACACAGACCCCGCCCGCCCCCGCCCCATCGCTGGTCCTGCTCTGGGGAGACAGGGCCGAGGAGCTCGCCTTCCAAGAGACAGACAGAGACAGGTGCATACATGTGCGCGCGCGCACACACACGTAGCCCAGGGCTCCTTGCTGGGGCTTTCTAACATTTCCAAAGTAAAAAATAAAGCCTGTAATTTTTAAATTTTAATTTGGAAACTAATTCACATTTAATCAAAATACTTGGTAAAAAAGGAAAAAAAAAAAAAAACTAAAACAGAAAAAAGGGAAAACAAGCTTGCCACAACTATCATCACTGGTTTAGACCAACCAGTTCTTTCCAGATCCTGTCCATGCATTAAAAAATAAAAAGTTCTTATTGATTTTTAGAGAGGAGAGAAGGAGAGAAACATCGATGATAGAGAGAGAACATGATTGGCTTCTCCTACACACTCCCTCTGGGGATTGAGACAGAAGCCAGGCATTTGCCCTGACTGGGAACTGAACCAGTGACCTCCTGGTGCATGGGTCGAGGCTCAACCACTGAGCCACACTGGCCAGCCCCGTGCATTTTTAAAATAAGACTGGAGCCAAAATCGGTGTGCTCAGTGGATAGAGCCTCAGCCTGCCAACTGAAGGGTCCCTGGCTCGATTCTCGTCGAGGGCATGTACCTTGGTTGTGGGCACATCCCCAGTGGGAGTTGTGCAGGCGGCAGCTGATTGATATTTCTCTCTCATCGATGATTCTAAATCTCTCTCTACCTCCCTCTCTGTAAAAAATCAATAAAATATGTTAAAAAATAAAATAAAATAAGACTGGAATGACACTGTCAGTGCAACTCACAGCATTTCAGAAGCATGGGCCAATGCGCCTGGGGACTTTTATTTAGCGATCTGTGTTCTTTCCTGACTCCACTGTGCCCCGTTAGATACGTAAGACACTGAGCACCATGGAGCTCCGCAGGAGGATGCGGAAGTGCTCTCCGTCCGTCCCCGCAGCCACGCGCCGGCACACGCACACGCACACACATGTACACACATGCACATGCGTGCGGAGCCTGAGAGCCTGCAGGCGCACAGGGGCTGGCTGTGTCCTCCGTGCCACAGGGACACCGGGCTGGCCAACCTCCCTCCCCGGTGGTGGAGATGCTAACGGTGAGGGCTCCTCCCGCCGCTCCGGGAGTCGGGCCTCCAGCACGTCCTCATACCAACATGAGCAGGAGCTCAGGACACGACCTCGGAAGTGTGACGGCTGAATCACGTTTCAGTTTACAATTTGAAGCTTTCCTCCCAAAGGTTCTCAGTCGTACTCCAAGAGACAGCGAACATATTACTTAGACGTGTTAACGCCAGCGTGACTGAGTTTACGAGGCAGCTGGCTTACTGACCACGGTGTGGGTACTGACTCACCACAGGCAGACTCTGAGTCCTCCCGGCTTTTCCTGCTACCAATGCCCTGCAGCTGCATGCTTACACCAGGGGAGCTTCTGAGGTTCTGTTCCTGACAGAGGGCCCCTGCTTGCTTGGCCTCCAGCCCCGCCTGCCGGGGGCCTGCAGGTGCCAGCAGCCAGTCGGCTCCTTCTGGGCGTGCCCGTCCTGTGCCTGACACAGCTCTCCAACCACACCCTCTCAACAGGGGGCTCAGAAGCTCCCCAAAACACCAAAGACAGGGCCCCACATTCGATTACGAGGACCACAGGAATCACCTCCTGGCTGGAGGCTGGGGCAATCACCAAAGCCAGTCACAGAGAAAAGAACCTCAGAATCAGAGTACTTTACAGCATGAAACTTACCTTTTCCACTAAACCCGGAAAAGACACGTGCCATTGTTGGCAACAGACGGGTTTAATGCAATTGTAGTTTTTAAAACGCAGAATGAAAAATGAAAAATGCAGAACCATGTCTCTACTTAGACATGGTTCCCTTCACTGACTGGCTGACGGAAGAGCCATTTCCTGTTTACAAACGACAATGGAGAGTGCTTGACTAGCAGCGGTCAACTGTTCCTGCCCAAACCCGGGTACAGGCGTTCCCAGCAGAAACCGCGGCTCCGAGGTCACGTGCTCGCTGAGGTCACAGCTCTCGCTGAGGTCACGTGCTCGCTGAGGTCACGTGCTCGCTGAGGTCACGGCGCTCGCTGAGGTCACAGCTCTCGCTGAGGTCACGTGCTCGCTGAGGTCACAGCTCTCGCTGAGGTCACGTGCTCGCTGAGGTCACAGCTCTCGCTGAGGTCACGTGCTCGCTGAGGTCACGTGCTCGCTGAGGTCACAGCTCTCGCTGAGGTCACAGCTCTCGCTGAGGTCACCGTGCTCGCCGAGGTCACGTGCTCGCCGAGGTCACCGCGCTCACTGAGGTCACGTGCTCGCCGAGGTCACCGCGCTCGCCGAGGTCATGCGCTCGCCGAGGTCACGGCGCTCACTGAGGTCACAGCTCTCGCTGAGGTCACACTGCTCGCTGAGGTCACGGCGCTCACTGAGGTCACGTGCTCGCCGAGGTCACGTGCTCGCCGAGGTCATGGAGCCGAGAATTCCCACCGCCTCGGGCACAGCTCTGTGCCTTCGTAGCCTCAATGACGTGAGGGACTAAGGTGCTCTCTGATGTGGTTACTCTAGTTTCACTGTCACTTTAGAAAGCACTTTCTACTCATAAAGCACACCTCCTGTTCACCGCGCCTTTCTCTCGTGCTCTAAGTCCGGCCGAGTGCACGGCGCTCACAGTCTGCACTGCCGCCGGGAGCACGTCCAGCCTGCGCTCCCTCACGGTAAGTGCCTGAGGGGGCACCACCCGCAGTATCAGCACCAGGGACGGGCACACAGCGCAGCACGGGCCCCACCCCGGGCGGGGCCTCCATGGTGTTCACACCCCGATGAGACTGCCTAACGAGCACTTCCCAGGACGCACCCTGTCGTTAAACTGTGCGTGGCCGCACTTGCACCAGCTGTTAAAGATCAAGGTGCTGACACAGGCAATCTCTAGAGCACATGTGTCAAACACAAGGCCCGCGGGCCAAATCCGTCCCGCCAGGCCTTGCAATGTGGCCCGCACCGCGCTGTCATCACTGCACTCCACTGCGTTTCCATCTCAATGACAGTTTATGACTGTTCAGTAAACCATTCGGCCCGCGATTTAGGCTGGATTTCAGATTTTGGCCCCTTCTCTGATTGAGTTCGACACCCCTACTCTAGAGCTTATTGCTTAGGGAAAAAGTAAGTTGCTACATAATGCAACTTAACCCCATTTATTGGTGGCAGAAACCCATAAGTTGCTATCATAGATTTCTAGGAATGTGTCAGCAAATCTATAGATATAAAAGCCTAAGTGACCGAATGACCGGTTGCTATGACATGCACTGACCACCAGGGGGCAGGTGCTCAGCACAGGAGCTTCCCCCTGGTGGTCAGTGTGCTCCCACAGCCAACTGGCTGGGCAACCTCCTGCTGTTGCTCACCAAGGTCAGCGGGCCCCACCCTCCCCATCAGCCCTGACCGCCAGCCAGGCCAAGGGACCCCACCTGTGCATGAATACATGAATTCACGCACATAACCTCTATCCTCCTATCTAATAAAAGAGTAATTTGCAAATTGACTGTCATTCAAACTCACAAGCTGGCCACCTCCATGTGGTCGAAGATGGCTGCCACAAGATGGCCAGCACGGGTGGGCAGTTATGGGTGATCAGGCCAGCAGGGGAGGGGACCCAGGTTTGTAGGGGAGGGAAGTTGGGGGTGGGGGGAGATCAGGCCAGCAGGGGAGGGCAGTTGGGGGGGTACCCAGGCTTGTAGGGGAGGGCAGTTAGGGGTGACCAAGCCAACAGGAGAGGGCAGTTGGGGCAACCAGGCCTGCAGGGGAGGACAATTAGGGGTGGCCAGGCTGGCATGGGGGGCAGTTAGGGGTGATCAGGCTGGTGGGGGGGGCAGTTGGAGGTGATCAGGCTGGCAGGCAGAGTGGTTAGGGGCAATCAGGCAGTCAGGCAGGCAGGCGAGCAGTTGGAAGCTAGGAGTCCTGGATTGTGAGAAGGATGTCTGACTGCCCATTTAGGCCCAACCCTGTGGACATCCCTGGAGGGGTCC